CAAACGAGATTGGCCCATAATTGCTCTACTGCCTATGCCAGTGATTCCAGTCACAAACTGAGCCAGATACGCTGGATACTTCAAGTGAATGCCGCAGCCATACAAAGTGTCCACAGTCAGCAAAACACACGCTTTGATCTGGCAAACCATAGGTGCATGCCTCCTTAAACGCATTGCGAGACCAGACGTCATCGCTGAAAATCAACTTCATTCGATGAATAGCTGGGCGATGAGAAGATTAAAACTATTCCTGACCATTCTCCAAATGTCCTCGGCCATGCTGCAGCCACGACCAGCAAATAAATAGCAGCTACAGCAGACGCCTTATCCCAGGAACACAACGAAGAAAAATGCATCACCCATCATTGTCAATATGAACGAATCTGGAACTCAGTCAATAACAGATAATCATAACTCATAATTGCCGCCAGGATCACTGAAGTCACTAGCTCCGGCTGCAAACCGGACTTCCACAATCTTGCAACATCCAAACTGGAGGAGAAACAGTGACGAGAACGGTAAACAAGTTCTCAACCGTCATCCATTCCCTATCAATGTCCTACCACTCAATGCTAATAATGACAAAGACAGTGGACAAGAAAGAAAGAGGCACAGCTGACATGAAATGAAACACAAATTAACACTACCAGGTTCTTCTTTTGTTTCTACAGCATTCTTTGTACTTAGGCCTTATTGCTACAGCTATACCCTGTATCCAACGTCTCTGTTACCTGCTTTTTCAATATTTTTACATCTCCTCTACAATATTTACTGTCTGCATTATGACCACTTCTCTGCAGTTCTTTTATATACGTATTCTTGTCTCTCTATTGTCATTTATTGTTTTACGGTTGGAAAGGTAGTGTAAATCATTATTTAGGTCGTTTACTGTCAGCTCATTATCAACCACCGAGTCACTGTGTCTAGTTTTCTTCTTCAGTGCATACTAAAGAAATCAAATTTCAACAGTGGGAAGTCCTTCTGTTTCATGATTACACACAGTTGGAATTTCTCCAGTTTTGGTACCTGCTGTGACACCATCTGATACTGAAAGCGATTAGATAATGGATAATTATGTTTCTGTGATTATGGGCTTCATAAAGTCCACAGAAGCCCCCAAATGTGTTTCAGGGACTGCTACGTTTATTATTATTATTATTACTATTATTATAATTATTATTATGTTCAGAAGATTAAGCCATTTGTTTTTAGAGAGCTGTCTTATTTGCTTGTATATGGTTTTTCTCATTTATTTCCAATGTGATTGCCTCATTTGTTCTTCGGTGACAGTCTTAGTTATATTTACGCTCTCCATAATATCGCTTTATTTAGTTCACTTCTCTCAAATCTGGTGCCAGTAGATGACTTCTCAGCGTGTCTGCTGATTGTCCTTTTATTCACTTCTATGCACCAGTACCGGGTGTCCTTTATTCACTTTAATGCAACAGTACCGGATGTCCTTTATTCACTTCTATGCACCAGTACCGGATGTCCTTTATTCACTTCTATGCACCAGTACCGGATGTCCTTTATTCACTTCTATGCAGTAGTACTGGATGTCCTTAATTCACTTTTATGCAACAGTACTGGGTGTCCTTTATTCCCTTCTATGCACCAGTGCCGGATGTCCTTTATTCACTTCCATGCACTAGTACTTTATTCACTTCTATGCACCAGTACTGGATGTGTTTTATTAACTTCTATGCACCAGTACTGGATGTGCTTTATTCACTTTTATGCATCAGTACTGGGTGTTCTTTTTCACTTCTGTGCACCAGTACTGGATGTTCTTTATTCACTTTAATGCACCAGTACTGGATTTCCTTCATTCACTTTTATGCAGCAGTACTGGGTGTCCCTTTTTCACTTTTATGCAGCAGTACTGGATGTCCTTTTTTCATTCAATGCACCAGTACTGGATGTCATTTTTTTTTACTTTTATGCAACTGTTCTGTGTGTTTTTTTTTTCCACTTCTTTGCACCAGTATTGAATGTCCTATTTTCACTTTTATGCAACAGTACTAGATGTCCTTTATTCACTGGTATGCACCAGTACCGGATGTCTTTTATTCACTTTTGTGCACAAGTACTTGATGTGCTTTATTCACTTCTATGCAACAGAACTGAATGTCCTGTTTTCTCTTATATACACCAGTACTGGATATCCTTTATTCACTTTTGTGCACAAGTACTGGATGTGCTTTATTCACTTCTATGCACCAGTACTGGATGTCCTTTTTTCTCTTTTATACAACAGTACTGGATGCCTTTTTTTTTCACTTTTATGCATCAGTACCGGATGTCCTTAATTCCCTTTTATGCAACAGTACTGGATGTTCTTTTTTTCACTTCTATGCAACAGTACTGGGTGTCCTTTTTTCACTTCTATGCACCAGTAATATGTGTCCTTTTTTCACTTCTATGCACCAGTAATATGTGTCCTTTTTTCACTTCTATGCATCAGTACTGGGTGTCCTTTTTTCACTTCTATGCAACAGTACTGGGTGTTCTTTTTTTACTTCTATGCATCAGTACTGGGTGTCCTTTTTTCACTTCTATGCAACAGTACCTGATGTCCTTTATTCACTTTTATGCAACTGTATTGGGTGTCCTTTTTTCACTTCTATGCACAGTAATGGGTGTCATTCTTTCACTTTAATGCAAGAGTACTGGATGTCCTGTTTTCTTTTTTATACAATAGTACTGGATTAGGGACCGGTTAAAAACAATCCGCCGAGATAGTATTTCGGGAAACCATTCTCAACACTTATTGCTGATATGTGACTGTACTATGCATTTATCTGTCCACTGATGTGCCATTCAAGGCTTCTCTTTTCCCAGAGAACAGTATGCTGGTACTCATCACAAATTGTCTAAAAAGTTAGGGTGCTTACCACAAAGTGTCTATTGCAGTAGCGCTGTGAACGAAAATGATGCTTGAAATAAGGATCGGGTATGTCGCAGGTGTGGGTCCTGGCTGTAGTGGACCCAACTTTGAGTGGATACCAGGTGGAATCCTGTGAGGTAAAGGCGGTCGGCGTCATGCGGAAGACATCACACACCAAGTACCGATCTATAAATCTATCAATTATAGGTCTAGCCCTGTTTGCCCAATACGCTCAAAGGCATGAACAAATATCCTTATCTTGTACTTACTTTATGTCGAGATTGCGAAACTGTTTTCACAGCTCATACATAACAGATCGAACAGATGTAGTTAAAAATATGTTCAAAGCAAATATTGTATTTTGCGAACTACAAAACACGTTTCTTTTTTTTTTTCAAGAAATGTCCTTAAACACATGTTGCATCGTCATGTAATGAAAACTGATATCCAATATCCGTTGTTCTGAATTAGAATTCTCAGTTCTTACTCTTAAAAAAAGGATGTAAATTCCGCTGAAGATTACATGTGATGATGTGTGTTGCACTCCCGCAAAAATAGGTTCTACTGGTAACAATATATTTATATATATACAAAGAGTGTGGGTCGGAGCTGGTTGGAGAAGAACCTCGGTTCCCTTGAACTTTCCAGGGTTTCCAAGGTCCTAAGTCTTGTTTCAGCGATTAAAAAAAAAAAAAAATATGCTGAATGGCAAATAAATATAATAGTACATTTTATGTTACATTTATGATTATAACAACTATGTCACATGAAAAATTTTACAGGTAGTAAGGGTGAGGGCAGCTATAAGTAATGACGGGGTGTTGAGTCTCTCCCACCTTCTAGTTACCAATATTATTATTCTAGGAAGACTCGATGTGCCAAAACCCTAAGGATACGGCTCCACTGACTACCGGCAAATGAAAGTTTTAGTTAAGTAACTTTATATAGTATTCGCTATACTTTATACAGTATTCGCATATACTTTATACCGTATTCGCAGATACTTTATACAGTATTCACATAAACTTTATACAGTATGCAAATATACTTTATATAGTATTCACATATACTTTATACAGTATTCACATAAACTTTATGCAGTATTCACAAATAATTTCAATAATATGTACACAATGGAAGTAGAAACATTAAGAAGCAGGGGATTCCGAAAAAAAATATAGATTTGAGTCTCCGCAACAGCCCAGCATAGGGGACAAAGAAGCGTGCCTCTAGCTCGGTTAGAGATCCTCTGTTAAGTCTACAACACCTAGCGGCGCAAAGCAGAATATTGACCCCCTAAAAATAGTTTTTGGTTGGGTTCATTTGGGAAAGGGGAGAAGGTAATTAATAGGCAGATAATTATGGATGGGAGCCTCAGTGGTTGCGTGCGTGCCCCAGTGGTTGCATACATGCCTCTAGCTCCGAAGATCTTGGTTCCCAACCGCACCGGGTTTTGAAAAAAAAAAAAAACTTTCCTTGACTCCCAGTTCGACCTAATCTAAAACTAGTAGCTCGAAATATCATCAGGAGAAGAAAAGACCAAGTAGAAAGATTTACGGAAATAGGGGTAGAGGAAGAGAAGGTGTGAAGATTCTTGACATAACTGTGTCATGGTATAGAGGTATATCAGCACATACCGTTAGAGATTACGGGTTGTGGAGAGGCATTATCACCCAAACGAATCAGCAAGGCACTTTATAATCACCACCATCATTATGATAATGATAATGATGATGAGGAAAGGCGACCGACGCGATAGCTACCACGTTAGGTATCGAGTGGTCCGTAAGCATATAAAGCTGCAAGTTTAAGTGAAGAGAATCGACTTCCTAGCACTGCGTTTTAACCCACATGGCCCCGTCTCCATCTTTTGTATGGTTAGCCACCTACTAAAAGTATCGTATTAAGTGCTATCTCCGTAGCTCATGTGACGATCAACCAAGATTTTCCAGAAAATTGCACTTAGCCGTAAATCGAACCCATGACCTTCAAAGCGTGAGGCAAAAGGTTTGATCACTTCGCTACAAACACATGATTCTGGTATGATATACCTGACAGGTCACTGGCGTAAAAATGGTCGTGTACTTGTGTTAAAATAAATTTAGCATCTTACCGTTCCCAGAAGCCAGCGGAAGTACAAATAGGTCTGTAAGTTGGGGAGGATACACAGAACGCCCACACATAGATCGGCCACGGCTAAGTTTGCCAGGAAGAAATTGGTTCTGGTCTTCATCCGGGCACTTCTGGATGTGACAATTAGAACCAGTGTGTTACCTGAAATGTATCAACGTAACATCAGGTAATTTGTCTGATCAACACACATGCATTGACAAAACCGTACAAAATATTACACTAAATCACGAGTGTAAGTCAGGGGGACCCCCCCCCCCCCCTCCCGAAAAAAAGTGTACCCTTGCACAACCTTTTTTTGTGTGATTATCCAACTATCAGTTGCAATAAGTAAGTCTGGCTATGTCTTATAAAAGCACAGCAAAAGAGTTCCGAGTCCCGGGAGTCATGATACGGGTCGCCCCGCCTTGGAGATTGATTAGGGGATTAACGGGCCACAGAGGGGTCTCTACTGATGATGACTAGACTCCAGTTGTGTCTGCCTCCATCACGTAAGTAAAGGACCATTTTTAACGTCCTTAGACGTATTGGGCAAATAGACTAGACTAATATTTTATAGACCGATTGCACTTGCATTATACTGGCCGCCTTTACTTCCCAGAACTGCACCTGGTAGCCACGCAAGGCTGGGTCGAACTGGGAGCCAAGGTCATTTTTGAAATTAAAAAATCTGGCACCGTCAGGACTCGAACCCACGAACTTCCAAACCGCAGGCGATCATTTAGCCGTTACACCACAACGAGTCCAAACTCCGTCAAGTACTTACTAATTTTTTTACAGCCTTCGTGATGTTCACCCATCCCTCATCGACTACTACCTTATAAATTATTGCGAAAGTGAATAGACGACGCCCACGCTCAACTAGATCCCCAGTGTTTGGTGAGAATGTGGGAGTAGTCCGCGTAAAGAGGTTCTAGCTGCCACGCAACACGCAAAAGAAAAACAAGACAAGTGATTGATTGATTATGGATTGGGGTTATTCAGTGTCTCGAAGAGTCAGCTATAGAAACTTGAGCGCATACAGAATGAAGCTATGCGGCTGATCTTGGGTTGTACAAATGGGCACCCCGATTGTGTGCATGCGATACATCGTTGCATTGCCGACTTTTGCAGATATGCTAAAGGTGCTGCAGGTTAAGTCATACCTCAGAGTAGCTGCAGACATAGAACACCCTCTGTATGAAGCTTTGGCTGCAGGCAAGGGTCAGAGGTTGAAAAAGGGGAAATCGTGGAAGGCTCAAGCAGAAGACATAATAAGACAAGTATGCATGCTGGAGAACATTGGGCGAGGAGAGGAGTGGGTCAGAGTACCAGCGGAAAAGTTAGCGGGTGCTACAGAGGTTGAAGTCCAACAGTTGATTCACGACAATTCACGCCCTTTGGTTTTCTATACAGATGGTTCAGTGCTGAGAGCAAAGAAAAGTGCTTGGGAGTTCGCAGCGAAAGCCAGGAGAAAATTTTCAGTGCGAGACAGCCTAGTCGGCGTCTGTGGCTTAGGCAGTGCGAACGCGTTCGCAATGGCGGGGTGCCGGGTTCGATCCCAGCTGCAGACGATTTGTCTTGCGCTGGTTTCGACAGTGGTTCTGTGAGCTGAACAGCCAAAAAATACTGAGTTGGTTCTGTAACGTCCTGTAAAAGATACGCAACTAAATTTATATAAAGTGGGTAAAGGTTCTTTTTCCACACCTTTAGGCGTATAGGGCATATAGAGCTAGACCTATATGTTTTATAGACCAATCGGCACAAGATAGGTCATGTGATCAGCATCACGCAGGCAGCCTTTACTTCCCAGGACTGTACCCCGTACCCACTGAAGGCTGGGTCGACCTTGGAGTCAATGTCATTTTTGAAAAAAGTCCATTTCCGCCAGGGAGTGAACCCACGACCTTTCGATACGCACGCGAGCGTCTAGCCGCTACGCCACGGCGACTCCCAACAACTGTATACAGTCGTACTGCAAATGACAGCGTCGGAATTGAAACGCTACTGAAGATGAGGACAGAGCCCTTGTGGCAGCAGTTCTCAACCTGCCGGTCGTGACCCCTTTTTTCGGTCGAACGACCCTTTCACAGGGGTCGCCGAAGACCATCGCTAAACACATATTCATTGAAGTTATGAAAGGACAACAATGTTGGGGGTCGCTACAACATGCGAAACTGAATTAACTCTTTGAGTTACAAGGAGCGCATCATTCGTTCATAGATACCTACCTAGAGTGAACGCATGATGCCCTGATTTTATTTCTCTCTTGACTACCCCTTGGGCCTATGATGCTTAACTTCCTGGGACTCAAAGAGTTAAAGGGTTGCGGCATTAGGAAACTTGAGAGCCACTGCCCTATGGGAATGTCCAATAAAGTTGTTTGCTTTTGAATAGATTACTTCAATATATTAAAATTAGTGTGCATCTTGTTTTTTGCAATAAGTGTGCGAATAAATTTATTTTTAAAAGGGAAGCGGCGTCTCACTGCTGCGATTTTCAGCAGATACAAGAGACACCTTGGGCTGGACACTGCTTGCAGCAGGAGAGCTGACGAGAGACTGAGTGTCTTTTACGTCGGCTGGGATGATTGTGATATTATGTAAACGACATACTTCATGTTATTGGTTTCCTAACTACATGCAAATGAGTTAATCTGCGGATTGTGTCATGTAGATAAGTTTGCATGTTCAATACCATACAATGGAATCTCAGGATATACGAATGTACCTGGATAACAGGTATTTTTTTCACTCCAAACAAAAATATAATAATTTAAATTAAAAAAAAAAACACACACACACACACACACACACACACACACACACATTTTCCCGGGGCCGCCATTGTGTAGCGGCTAGACGCTCGCAATCTTAATCAAAATTCGTGAGTTTAGATCCAGACGTAGCCGGACTCGGTCGTCCCAGCCTTAGTACCAGGTAAAGTCCTGGCAAGTAAAAGATCCTTTGTAATGTTGGTCACATCACCTTATAAGTGCCGACTGGTCAAAAAACATAATTCTAGCCCTATATGCCAAAACGCCTAAAGGCGAAGATAAGGGTCTTTAACATGTTTTACACATTTAGCCAGTTAAATAAAAATGTAATTTTCTTTATATTTTCGCAGTGCTCGAACAAATTAACATTATTAACATTAATTTAAATGAGAAAACAAAAGTTTCAGGATACGAATGAGTTACCATATTAGCTCGGTCATAGAATAGATTAAATTCATGTCCTTGGATCCACTGATATTATCTGCAATATAGTTGTTACATTACTCACAATGACTCAAAGAGAACAATTAAGTATCGGCAAGACAGGAAATGCAGTATTGACAGAGTGCAATTGTATCCCCATGATCATTATTACCCCTTTTTTACAATGACTCAAGCAGAATAATTATCGATCATCAAGAACCTCACTGCAGTTTTTATGTATCGCATTAATATACCACTGACTTATTTTCCCTTTGTTTGTGGGTACACTTCGTCACGTGCAGTTTATCCACGTGCTTACTGAAAATAGACCAGCATAGACGAGGACGTCGTAGGCATGCACGTGCTAACAGTATGCTGCACTCTACACACAGAATCAAGATGTTTATATTTTTCCATCAATGTATGCGTGTTAATCATGTGTTATGAGCAGCATACCGAAACTCCTGTCTGTATTGAACAAAGAAGACACGAACAATTGACTGCACAATTTATTGCCTGGGATATTTCGCTGTATCTCGTCAGGGGCATACTATAGTAACAACTGATTAACATGAAGCAAATAACTGAATCCTAGAGACTAAAAAACAAATTCGACTACATTCATGAAATGTCTGTGTGATATAGAAGGAAGCAGGGGGAAAGGAGGAGGGGAGTGTTAAGCTTTACGACTTTTTTTGCCACATAGCTTGTGCAGTCGGACACGGCTAGTGCAGTCGGACACGGCTAGTGCAGTCGGACACGGCTAGTGCAGTCGGACACAGCTAGTGCAGTCGGACACGGTTAGTGCAGTCGGACACGGCTAGTGCAGTCGAACACGGCTAGTTAAATAAATAACGGCTAGTGCAGTCGAACATGGCTAGTTAAATAAATAACGGCTATTGCAGTCAAACACGTCTAGTTAAATAAATAACGGCTAGTGCAGTCAAACACGGCTAATTAAATAAATAACGGCTAGTGCTGTCGAACAGAGCTAGTTAAATAAATAACGGCTAGTGCAGTCAAACACGGCTAGTTAAAAAAATAACGGCTATTGCAGTCAAACACGGTTAATTAAATAAATAACGACTAGTGCAGTCGAACACAGCTAGTTGAATAAATAACAGCTAATGCAGTCGGACACGGCTAGTTAAATAAATAACGACTAATGCAGTCGGACACGGCTAATTAAATAAATAACGGCTATTGCAGTCGAACACGGCTAGTTAAATAAATAACGGCTAGTGCAGTCGAACAAGGTGAGTTAAATAAATAACGACTAGTGAAGTCGAACACGGCTTTTTAAAAAAATAACGACTATTGCAGTGAAACACAGCTATGGCACTCAAACACGGCAAATACATTCAAACATGGCTTGCGCAGTTGAACACGGCTATTGCAGTCAAACACGGCTATTGCACTCAAACACGGCAAATGCATTCAGACATGGCTAGCGCAGTCAAACACGGCTAGTGCAGTCAAACACGGATGGTGCAGTCAAACATGGCTATGGCACTCAAACACGGCAAATGCATTTAAACATGGCTAGAGCAGTCAAACACGGCTGGTGCAGTCAAACACGGCTGGTGCAGACAAACACAGCTAGTTCAATAAATAACAACTAGTGCAGTCGAACACGGCTGGTGCAGTCAAACACGGCCATTGCAGTCACAGGTGGCTATGACACTCACACACGGCCAGTGCAGTCAAAGACGGCTGGTGCAGTCAACCATATCTAGTGCAGTTAGACATGGCCAGGTGCAGCTTTAATGTTTAATGTTACACTGAGCACAAAACAAACCCATAACCTCATGAATAATTTAAGCCTAGGCATGTTTATTGATAACCTAAAGGCTCTCAACCACTCGACCAGCCTCTTCTCTCTAACACTCTTTGCGTAGCTTACATATGAGGTCACTTCGGCACACCCTGCCAAATACTGTTTAGTTATCGAATCCGTCAGCTTAGT